TGCCTCTGTGGAGGAAACGGCAGCGGCCACCCTTCAGACTCTGGCAATGGCTGGGCAGATGGCCAGGGTGGTCCACATTACAGAGGACGGGCAAGTCATAGCTACAAATCAAAACGGCTCACACATGAGTAGTATGGTTCCAGGGCAGATACTCACGGAGCAGCTAGCGGACGGTGCGACACAGGTGGTGGTGGTGGAAGGAACGGGAACCGACATGGAGGAGGCCGTTGGAATAGACGCGGTTCCTGACTCCAGCGGCGCTGTGCTGCAGCAGATCATGCGACAGGACGTTTTGGACCCTTCTGAGGCTGCGGTCCATCCTCCAGACTCCTCCTCGGCATTAGATGCCCTGCTTTGTGCTGTAACGGAGCTGGGCGGCGTGGAAAACAAATCTGGACTCCTCGAGAGGTGCAGGTCTGGTCACAAGGATTTCTTGCAAATGCCAAACCCGGAGACGCCCAGCGTTCCCAGTGACGCAGAGGGGCAAGAAATACAAATGTTCCACGAAGTTCAAGAGGCTCAGGAAGGTACCAAACCTGTGGAAGTCGTGACACGGGTTGTGCACCCATCGGCTATAATCGCATCTCAGGAGAGAGCTCAGGCTGCCTTCAAGAAAGTGGTCCAAGGAGTGCTGCAGTTTGCCGTGTGCGATACGGCCGCAGCCGACCAGCTGATGAAAGAAGGTGTCACTCAGGTCATTGTAAACGAGGAAGGGACTGTGCACATGGTGGCTGGCGAAGGCTCTCAGATAATCATGCAGGAAGCTGGTAGCCACGCGCTCAGCGTCCAGGGCGAGCACATGGACTTAGTGGAGTCGGATGGGGAGATATCACAGATTATTGTCACAGAAGAATTAGCTCAAGCCATGGTTCAGGGCTCTGATGGCGACTTCCCCGAGGGTGCCACCCACTACATCGTCACAGAACTGCCGCCAGACATGCAGGATGAGCCTGGTGTGTACTCGCACGCTGTGATAGAGGCAGCTGGGCCTCGAGAGATTTTGCAGGCTGGGACGACTATAAAAACAGAGGCCGTATCCCCTGACAGAGCGGGGGAGCAGTTAACAAGCATGGTCATTTATACAGAGGGCGGCTCACAAGTAATTCAAGGCCAAGGAGGTTATAATGAAGCCCAAGAAGCATGAAGAGCTTTACCTCCCGGGCTCGATGCAGGGCAAAGCTTGGAAGTTGCCAGATCCACGGAGGCGCTGTATTCCTGGAGCGTTTTCTGTAAAACCTTCCCGATACAGCATCCTCCCGGCCAGGTAACGAACACCCACCCTGCGGGCGGTGAAGGGCGGCTACTAGGAGGAGTTCACTGAAAAGGATAGTCCCATCTTGTTGCAATAGCTCTAAGAACTATTCCGTGGGATTATTATAAAACAAGCATATGAGGGTACAAAAGAGGATACCCCCCCCCCCTCCCCGCTCCCAAAGTAGGTATCGTTCCGTTCAACGCCGCCTTTGTTGTTGGAGGGGGGGTTTTTTTTTAAATGTTGTTTTGTCTCGGGGGGTAGTTCCCTGCCTTCTGTCGTTTTTGTCTGACAGAATCACAGACGTAAAATAATTGCACTTCCATGTACATTTTGTGAACAGATAAATAAGCAAAAAAATGCCAACCCCACAAGAACAAGGGGAACAGGTAAGCTTGCGTCTGTAAGCCGTGCCCTTCTTCCTTTTAAAGAAGAAGAGGTGGCATTTGGCTTTCTAGAATCTTACTTTAAAATGTCCCTGGTTGAAAATATATCATCAAAATAAGTATTTTTTTGCATCTAAAATCTAATTGTTCATAGCAGCTTACTCTGTCATGGTATCTTATAGGACTTTCCCTCAAAAAAGCTACAGTTCAGAAAATTCTTGACTATACATATTCAGGAAGAAGAACTTGATGCCTGTAACTTCCACTTCATTTTAGATGAGAGTCCTACATAGTAAATGTGCATTTTTTTGGGAAAAAAAAAAAAAAATATTGTCACTGCCAGTGTTTTGCTTTTCTTATAAATAGTGCTTCATATAAATACCATTTTGCTGTTCCTTTTGTGAGCGACTTCTGAAATGTTGTGGGGGTTTTTAAAGAAAATTCTGACGTTGACATTAACAAGTAGAAAAAAAAGATGACCTTGTATTTCTTGCTTCGTCCAGAATGTCAGTTATTTACTTGTGCGTATACTGCAATTGGTCAATGCAAGTCCATGTTGAAAAGATTTGTTCCATGATACAACTGCTTTTGTTTCTTTTTAAAAAAAAAAAAAAAAAAAGAAAGAAAAATATAAACTGGTGAGGTTTGGGGATTTATTTTTTTTGTTTGTCTTTCAAATAAAATGTTAGCATTAAAATGAAGCATCATGATTTTTAATATTAAGCAATAAACA